GCTAAATGGATCCATGTCACATGTACTGAAGTACTGTAGATCTTTAGCGTTTTCATTACGAAAACTAGAACATGGTTCTCGTTAACTAAATAAAAAGATGTTTTCTATTTATTGCTATAAAATATATAAGTTTCCCTTTATCATTCTCAATGCTACAAATAACTCACGTTGTTTGTCTCAAATAACTTACCTATTTATTTCTTCACACTGTTTTTACAAAAATCTAATTATCTCGAAAGTGACATTTTGTGGGTTGGTTCTAGTTTGCATAACTATGTCCAATTACATTGTATTATTAGCAATTGAATTTTATTATCAGTCATCCTGCAAAAAATGTTAAAAAATATTACTGCACTTAAATCACACACTCGTTTATAGTTTCCAATTTCTACATAAAATTACGTTGGTAATTTCTACGTTACTGTACTGTAGACGTATAAAATAGTCAATGGACACTCTACCGCTCTACAGGCTGCTAACCCCCTGCCCGGTGCGGCTATTTTCCTGCCCATAGACAACACTTTTATTTGTTTTTATATTTATTTATCTGGCGCTGTTTTTGCGTTATTCTGCCCTATCGTTTTGGCGCGTGCCTCTATGACGTTGCAAAGGGAGGACGAATGGTCAAACGACGACATGTAATATATAGACTAGTCCCCGTATGGACCGCAATGTTACAACTGATAACTTTTAATTGGCAATGGTTTATAGTCAACTTGGAGATCTTTCAGGACCCTTTTCTTAGGTAGGTTTCAATCTAATGTATCAAATTGTATGTTATTTAATCTTTCATACGAAATTACTATTATTATTCAGATGTCGCAAAATGCGATATTTTCTCCTTAAAATATTATGGTATATTAATATTGTTGCCGTTATAACTTGTGTAGTGTACCTACTTACTTATTAAAGTAGAGAAAACGATAAGTTTCATTACGGTAATTACGTGTTTATTTTGAATTGTATGAATGCCTAACTTGAAAAATATTACACAATCTTGTCCTCACAACGCCAACGGTGTCAGGTGAAGCAAAGATCCGACTATGATACGTCAGCGCGATTCAGAATAGCCACCCTCATTTTATCGTGTAATACTCTATAACGTTATTCCGAACATCAAAGAAACTGAGAAGGTAAACGTCCCAATTTCAACAAATTATTGAGTAAATCTGTAAGACACGAAGTTTTGGTGGCTGTGTGATCTTGGAAGTCGTTGTTAGATACATAAGATTTTATAATCACAATCACGAGTATTTAATAACTTGATCGGATATTTTCTACATAGGTACCTTGATACCTACTTTGACCATTATTAGTAGTCAAAAGTAATGTAGTGAAAATGTAAAAATTGATTAATTGTTGGGTCTCGACCTTCTTAAATCATATTTGAGCGATAAGAAATATGGGGTCAATGTTAACGGTATGATATCAACACCGGCAATTAGCATGGGCGTCCTTCAAGGTTCAACTCTGGATCCACTGTTAATTTTAATTTATATTAACGAGTTATCTAGCCTCAACGAATGAATAAAACATGACATATTATTTACTGCTGATTCTTGCTAGTTCGACTGCCTCCGTGGCCGAACGGTTACCATGCCGGACTGCCACGCAGAGGTCCCAGGTTCGATTCCCGGGCCGGGAGAAATATTTATATGGCCTACATTTATTTATCTCGTGAGTTTGGGTGTAATTTGTGGTTGTCTATATGTGTGTCCATAGTACCCGCGACCCAGGGTTTCCCTAGTGCGGGGCTATGTTGAGTGTGTGCGTGTGTGCGTTATTAGTTATTTAAAGTTAAAAGGCGTACGTTCCTATGATGATGTGAACAATGCTATTTCAGGGGTAGTAGACAAAAATAAATAGTCTCTAATTCATAGGTAAGCAAATTACACTGACAGACTATTTATAACAATTTCGAGAAATAACAATTATAAACATAACATAAATATAATATAGTATTTGAAAGTGTATAAGTAAAATTTCCTCGACGTCCGTACCCTGAGGCATTGTCCCCAGAGGGCTGGCAACAATTCCCCTTTGAATAGCTAAACTTATTCTTGGGCGGAAATAACTCCCAGCCTTGTAGTCACCGGACGTATCTACGAGACTATCTAACAGCTCATTCGTTAGAAGTTTCGCCTGTAGCCCGCTGGGACCCAGGGTTTTAACCGCAAAAAGCACAGAGCTGTAGCTCTTAGCAAGGTTGGCATATTAAAGCCTTCTGGGGTTTCTCAACCGCTCTGGAGACAGAGCCTGCGCCGCCCACGCTTGCCAGGACATGGGAAGTGGCTAAAGTGTCCACACGGTCCGCACTAGCTGTCGCCATGGCTTCCATGAACCGATAGTCATACCGTCAGGACGTGACTGCGACAGATGCCAGAGGGCTCGAGAACAGCCGGTTTCTTAACGCTGGTGCAGGCTCATAAGATGATGCTATTGAGCGCTGCGTATCGGGTAGTTGATTGTCGTGTGAGTTTATTGACACGACCATAACTTACAAAGCGAAAATGGCGGACTGAACTCAAGTTTGCGGAACCCCGCGAATTGCTGGTATATACACGTGATGCGAAACTAAGCACTTCTATATGTATAGTGACCCGTTTAACTTTTTCAGTTTGCGTCTATGGTATTTGAAATAAACACATACTAGGTCAATGCACACTACAACTCTATTTAGGTACAAAGAGCAAGACCTCAACTTTCCTATTCTCATCCTTCTCACGAAAATCTTATGAATGAGTAGTAGTGTTTATTAAATGTGACGATTTCAAAAGTGTTATTTGTTTACCTATGAAATACAGATATTTTTTTTATTTCTATGCAGCTGGTAAAACCGGTATTGAAGTCAAAATCAAACCGAAATAATTTAAAATTTTTAACGAATGGTTGGAGAGTCGGGGTAGGTAACACAGCCGCATTAATAAATTGTTACGATATAAATAAATCGTGTAATATTTTTATATATTTATTTATTTATACTTTGAACTGTAGCACTTTTGTATGGATTAAACGCAATTACCTATCTTTTTCACAATTTCAAAATAATTTACAAATTAATAAACAAATTCAATAGACAAAATAATTTATTTACAAAATCAATGCACCTCGTAACAATGCGAAAGTAATGGATGGCTAGCATCTGAGCAAACTAACAAGACGAACAGGAAGGTTTTTGCGATAGTGTAAAGTTCGCATATTTTGTTTTTAGCGAACCACCAGCTGCCTGTCCAATGTTCTTGTTCATCGTTGCCAACAACGTCGTCACCATATCATCAATCTTCTTCTTCACCAATTTGTGTACAAATTGCATCATAATCAATTAATCACAACTAATTCTCTGAAAAATTGTGTGTAGTTCGCAGGCACCTACCTTGCATTATACGTATACTCACTGTCTACCAGTTAAGAAGTCACCACACTTACAGCTGCTTATAGGCAAAGAAATGGATTACGCTGGTCAGATAAGACGTGCTTTTAGCGTCGCCGGCGGTCCAAGCGGAATCGTCTTTTCCGCTCTTATACACGGACATAAAACTTATTCCGTTAAAACTGTGGTGATTCCCTTTTTTGTTATCTATATTCCATAATGAATTGTGACTTCTGACGGTTCACAATCACAAGAGTAATTTTCAATAAGTTTTCTCGGTATGTTTTTGGTACTCAATTTTGGTGACAATTTTTTTTCTTTAAATGTTTATAGTGTGGTAACCTGAAATATTCTTTAATGATATATTTTGAGTAATTAAATTATAAAAATTGTCATCAAAATTGAGTACAAAAAACTTACCTGAAAATTACGGACAAGATAAAGCTACGGTTTGAATTATAATTAAGTACTAATTATTGAGTACCTAGCTCTTAGAGGATGGGAAAAAATAAAAGAATAGTCTAGACCTAGCTAGACTGTGTCTCCACGTGGTCACCTTAGAAGATGGGTCACTACTGGTATTGCCATCTAGTGGCCAATCGAGAAAGCTTTTTGTTAGTCAATGATTTTTTTTCTTATTTCTCTTGGCTCTTCGCGGTAAGCGTTTTAGCCACTTACCAAATATTTTGACTAACTTGCTTTTAAAACGGGGAAACTTATATAATATCATGGAATGTAAATTGGAAACGAGATTCGAAAGTTGAAGAAAAAGTGAAACAGGAATCAGGCGAGGAATTATGAGATGTAAATAAACATGGTTTAAATAAAGAATAAATACTATTCAATTTTATAAGCCGATTCGGTTCGTTCTTGTCAAATTTTTATTACTCCATGGACTCCATTGCCTTGGGTTGGTCGGAAAATTTCGCATTGAACTGTAAAACTGCAAAATAACATTTTATGTAAAAAAATAATAAAATAAAAGGGACTTTTTATTTTATTTTGTCACATTAAAAATTTGCATTTGATTCTAATCGATCTTAAAAAATCGAAATTGATCCACGCAATAAATGTATCCCAAAAAGATAGAAAAAAATAATGGAAATGTATCCACAACTTAGAGGATGGCGAAAAAAAATATGGAAATCCACAAATTAGAGGATGGAAAAGTCAAGGAACACAATATATTATTGGTTTCCAACTTAGAGAATGGAAAAAATAAAGGTTTTGTCTAAAATAAGCTAAGAGGATGGAAAAAAAATAAGTTTTCCAACCTTCTTAGACTATGGAAACTTTTTCCATCGTCTTCTAAGCCAACCTTAGAGAATGGAAAAAAATAATTTCCAACCACCTCGCCACAGTTGTCAATGTCAAATTGACAAAACGTTTCTGGCGTCGGGGCGATTCCATTTTCTTTGTTGTCAATTATTTGGCAAAATAACACGAAGGAAGTTACGAGACAAGTAGATAAAATTTGCACTCGATTTTAGATGTAATTTGTAGCGTTTAATATTTAGAAGCATGCTTTGTTAAAATTAGCTTAAAGAAAAATCATATCAAACGTAAACATTCCAAGAGAAATAAACTTTGTAAATTTATTTATGTGAACTTGGTACTGTTGTGATAAAAAGTTGTTTGCATAAGGCTCTTTGTTTCATTATTCAACTCGCTGTAGTTCCCAAGATGGCTACTACAACTAAAATATTCGAGTTTTTTCGGAACTTAAAGTCAGATGCAGTGCCAAAAGCCCCGCGCCCTGAGAAACAGGATCCAGACAGTGACGTCACCGACACACAGCAAGAACATAATGAAGAATACGTGGAACAGGATGAAGAAGAGATTGTGATCAATTTAGACGGCTTTAAAGGCACAGAGAATCCTAAAACCAATAAAAAGAATTTTTATAGCACCAACAAGAAAAAACAGAGTATACCAAAAACGGATAAAAAGACCAAGCAACATACAGGTTTTAATAATGTCAATACTCAAGGTTGGTATCTAATTAACAATTTATTACATTACTAATAAGTTATGGGTGCTTTCTAACTTAGTCAAATATTCAGGTCTAATTTTATGTGACTGTTGTTCGGGAAAGCCCCTGTCCTCAATATGATATGACACCATAATTAACATTTTATAACCATGTAATATAAATTTGTGCAACTATCTAAAAATGAAAATGTTATATCAAACAAATCTATTGCAGCTACAGGCAACGTGATAAACATAGTGGGCTCACGTGATTTGCACTTTGGAAATGAGTTTGTGTATTATTTAGGCCCAACTACAATGCCTAGTAATCAGCAGCAACGAACGGAAGATCCAGATAATTTAAAAGTTAAAAAATGCAGCCTCATAACACTTCTTTTGGAGGCTAAAATAAAGGTACGAAGAAAAATCATTTTATATATCATTGGCCTATTGCCGTCTGTAATTAAATTATGTTGCTGGAAAAAGAATGATTAACATAATAGCCAATGTTAAGTTGCTAATTCTACTGTCCACTAACAAAAACGTGGCTAAGTGACAAATGGTCACATATATGATTTAAATAGCAAAAAATAGAGCACAAATTTCTGTTTTAAAAATAGTTAAATTTAGTTAACGTGTTCGATTTATCGCAACTTACCCTAACTATGCATCGCTGAAATATCATTAAAAAACCTCAATATTTTAAAAATGGGTTATGATTTTCCATGATACCTGATGTAACTCCACTTATGCCATTTTTCCGTGAGGGGTGCGATATGATCGCATTCATTCTTTCTCCTTATACATTGCTCACACTAACACAGCCCCTACATCTGTAATGTAGAATACAGGAGAACAGCTCCTGGATTTAAATTCTAAGATTTATATGCTATATGTGATGGGTAAATCATTTTTTAAATGAATCACTTTAGATTTTGTTTCCCGCTTTGATTTATCTTGTTTATCATGGTTATTTCAGCCTGAGTATGAATACCTTGAGTATATCTCCAAAAACTTGGGTAAGAATTGGTACAGCTTCTTTAGATTCCTCGGATACAGTCAAGGACGTATTGAGACTTGTGAAATAGACGAGGCAAGGAATGGAGGAGTATCAGAGGTAAAAATTTACATATTTTAGTATAGATACTGATTAAGTTACTATTAATATTGCTGCATAATGAGGATCGTCACTTTTTTTTTATTGTAGCTTTATAGCATAGTTTCCCAAAGTGGTCCCTACCCAGTGGGCGCAGAAGAGTCCTAAGGTGGCTGAAAGTGCCTACGAAGCAACTAGAGAGCGTTGATCGCGTCCAGGGGTGCTACCGCATTTGAATAGATAAATCAGAATTAACTATTATACTGCCATCCACTAACTACAACGCGGCTAAGTGACAAATGGTTAAATAACAGTTTCAAATACCAAAAAAAGGCCACAAAACTCTCTTTTAAAAATTAGTTAACGTGTTCGACTTGTCGGAACTTACCCTGACGATGCATAACTGAAATATCATTATACAATTTCTATATTTTAAAACTGGGTTATGGCTTTTTATGATATCTCAAAAAAATATTTTGACACTTAGCCGCATTTTAGTTACCGGACGGCGGTATAAACTACACTTACATACATTTTTTTTTATTTGTGATTTTTGTGTTAATGAAATACATGTTTTCAATTATATCTGTAGCGGTGGGGCCTTGACATTTTTTTATCTTGCCTAAGTGGGCGGTGAACCATAAAGTTTGGGAACCTATGCTTTATAGTATAACAAAAATAATTAACAACTGTTTTTGATTTTTTAATCGGTAAAAAATGAATGAAATACAGCGATTTTAATGCCGTAGTCCTGTGACGTCTTCTGTCGCCATAGGATCCCGCCCGGCCGAGTCAAGCGGGCTCCACAGGGAGTCGCAGTCAATCCCCTGATTCATCCACTACACACCACAATATCTTTCGAATTTCTTGTGGTGGTAATACAGTGTCATCCTCATCACACACAAATATTGCATTGTGTTAAAATGCAAGAATACACACGTGTCTCTACCTAGTAAACTGTTTTTTAGGATTCCGAGAGACGCAAATTTAAGAAAAAAATGGTGTAACGTAATGAGATGATGAAAAGAATTTCCTCCACCAAGTAAAAGTGTTTTGTACTGTTGCGAAGATCATTTTGACGTAACAAACATTGTAACCAACTATAATTAAATAAATAGTAGTAATATTTAAATTACACGTAAGAACATGTACTGATAGTTATTGTTTTTACAACCCCCTTTTTGAGCTGTACAGTCTTCATATTCAACGTTTATTGTCTCTTCACATATTTCTTTGCATTTCAAAAGCAACACTTATTAACTCCTTTATGCTCGGGCGCTATTTTTGCTTTAACAGTACAAATCGTCGCCTTACTTTCACAAACTCGTATCTTAAAGCACAAAGTTACTGAAATACAAAAAATGGATTGTATATAACAGATTTTGCAGGCTGATTCACATCACGTTTCCTTCATATTCACACACTGGCTTTTACCTATTCTAAAAATAATGCACCCAAACTAACACCCTTGATAAGAAAATTAAATTAAATTGAAATTTTTGCGTTCTCCTGAATAATCACTCTTTATAAGATACAAGTTTGAGAAAGTAAGGCATCGAAATGTCACCTTCCCTTCTAACCGGAAACCATCCGATTGCAGCATCTCCGTACATTTCGCGCACTGGTCTGTAATAAATCCTAAGGTGATTTAATAGACAGACATTCATTAGGTATTATACAAAAAATATTGGTTATTAAAATAACAGTTAGTCCACGTGTAAGTCGATACTTAAGATTTATTTGAACTATACTGCTGGCGAGGATATATAGATGCTGAGCACATTGCGCCGGGCGACGCAGTGCACTGTGCCAGGTCGAAACGTTCCGCGTAGCACTATCGCTTCATAGCGAATCATAGGGTCGTATTCCAGAACTCTACTCAATGCTCAGGTCAGGACTTGAGCAGACTTGAGTATGATTTCTAGCACTGGAAATACGACCCTAATAATATACCCTACCCTAAACCCTAATAATAATACGACCCTCAATGCTCAAGTCAGGATTTGAGTATGGTTTAAAGCACTCGAAATCATACTCAAGTCCCTGCCATTAGGGTCGTATTTCCAGTGCTAGTGTTTCCAGTGCAATCCTGACTTGAGCATTGAGTGGAGTTTTAGAATATGACCCTTAGTGTCATACAACTATGTTATTTAGGCAAAATATTTACGAAAACTTGCAAGGTCCTATGTTAAGTTTATTTTGTTATTCTAACAATTGAGTGCCTATATTGCAATGGCTATTTAGTAATAATTTTAACATATAAGTAGGTATTATATATTAAATTAAATGAAAAGCTTGTAATATTGTGCACTGTTACATATTTATATATTTAAGTAGGTAAGTGAGCCTAAAATAAACTATATAGGACTTCTCGAACATCGGTTCTAGAATAATTCGCATCATTTAAAAAAAATTGCGACACGGAACTGAAATTATCTGATTGGGCTTCAATACTAACCGAACTCTATAGGGTTAGGATTTTAATACTGTAATTGTTCCTGATTTTAAAACAACTGAGCAGAGTGATGAATTCACTCAACTAAAATGATCCGAATAACGTGTCTTCTTTAGCTTTGTTCACGCAATGCCGATAAGTGATATCATGACACGAAACCGGGCAGGCGCCTGCATTTCGGTGAAGCCGAAATATAATTGTAACAACTTCGCTATTTCTTAATGGATTGAAATCATTTCAAAAGTTAAATGCTCGTAAACGTAAAACTCATGCGTTGTAATATTTAAATATCAATTCTATTTTTTACGGTTGATCCTCATTAAGCTATTAAACCATCAAAAACATTTCTTCATTGTGTAATTATCTAAGCGTAATAATGTAAATTTATGCCATGAGTTTTTGTATCTTTTAATCCGAAGATAGCACAAATATACCAGCTCTTATTCTTATTTGTCAATAAAAACTGGTGTACATAAGCAAACCCATAAGTGATAAGTAAAAATACACTTGCTTGATAACTTGATGCTCTTTATGTTTTAATATTTTTTTTACTTGCCCAGCTATGCACTTCAGCTTATCACTCACTTACTTTATTAGTGTAAATTTTTAAGTAAACCACATAACAAATGGTGGTTGCCTAGGTCTCTTTAAAAAATAAATATTGACATTTTAGCTTTAGACAATGCGCACTAACAGTGTTATGTAATTATGTACCTATGTAACAAATTACTTACAGGCTCGTTACAAACTCCTTTTGGACTGGCAACGCAATGACGAAGATGGCACGTTAGGTTGTCTTGCTACAAAACTGTGGCAACATGGGGAGCGACAAATTGTTAAGGATTTAGCCCTTATTTATAACAAAAATCACAAGAAACTTTAATTCTGTATAATTGTATTTCGTGTATACTCATAATGTACTGACGTTAGATTATTTTACTATTTTCTACAGTGGAGAGTACATGAAGCTTAACACTGAACCATTCTTATTGTATGTGGCATAGAATTGAAATTAAATTCTAAAAGTCAAGTTTCACATGCTATAGGCTCTATACATTACATTGGGCATGATTGATAAGGTAATGTTTGTCAATTAATAGCCAATACAGCAACGGATGTGTCATTTTATAAAAATATTTTTAATTGTAGAACAAAAATAATTGCTAACTGTTTATACTAAATTAGGCTGCCAAATTGCATATCTGTCTCTAATGAATTAGAATTAAGTTTTTTCATAGCATTATAATAATTTTTTTTTTTTTCAATACAGCTGCTGTATATTGGGAGATTAATTGGAAATTACTGACTTAATATAAATAGATTTATATTGTTATTTTACTTTCTACTTGTTAGTTAGTACTTACTAGTTTGTTTTATCGGTCTGCACTATCCGGGCTTGAAATTCATCAATAATAATGTAATGAACATTTTTTTTTAAGAAGTGTTATAATGCTAATTGTATAGGACTTTTTACTATCGAAGCTTCGATTTGTATAATGATTACCTATTTATTAATTATAGTATTTTATAAATATTTTTATGAGAACAATGAATAGCATATAATGCTATATAAACATTTGTTTTATATACTTATCTAGAGTTTTAGTATTTTTATATTCTATATTTGTATTTTGTAGCTTCTATATTTCATAGGTGCTATAAATTTTTTAATATATTTTTTTTACATTATATCTTTTTTCCTTTTTTTCTTCTTTTATAAAGGATAACAATTTGCTTTATATCATTAACACAGTTCACCATTAATATAATATTTTAACACAGGTAACAATTTTAACTTCAGTACTGCTCTTTAAAGATCTTTTCGACAGTCCACATCCACACCTTCGAAAAGATTTATATAAGTAGAGGGATTATATTATGTGAGTAATTTGCCCAATCTACGAGTCTGTCGAATAGGTAGCGAATGTTCCAATTCACAAAACTGTCGAATCCAGATTTTGTTTTGTACCATACAAGCGGTTGATATGATGACAACTGTTGCTTACACTTTGTATTTATGACTAGACTTCTGAAAATTGTTGGCAACTAGGGCAGTTCTATACCGAACAAGGGACTTAACACATAAAAATAACAATATAATATTAATATTTTACTTGTATGGGAAAAAGGCATAATTTATAGGTGTATTTCATATTTAGAGGTAATTATGCTATGCCAAATGTGATGTACAAGGAGAAATAGTTTTGTTTACATTTCTTTTTATGGAGTGCCTAGGTACCTAAATACCTAATTAATCTAGAGATTGTTGTGGCTGTGGAGAGTTGGAGAGCACTGTTGCAGAGTACTGCCACTTTTGCCTTGCTACAGTCGGTTAAAACAAAGAAGGTGAGATGGGAAATGTTAAATAAAACGATGGTCAATTTGTTTATGAATGACGTCACCAAGATTTTGCAGTCTTTGCTCAAGAGATAAAAGCTAAAACTTAGGCTTTACTAAATAATACAAGGCCTAGTCACTCACATTCGTCCAATTACTTTACGGCCTCTGCAATAATGTATAATTTTATTATTTGGTATGTAAACACAATGAGTCTTTTTTTAGGGCTCCACAGTGGAGCCCATCATCACCATAAATTTAAAAGCTCCAAAACCTTATGTACACCTAATGTGAGAAATTACAAACTCCTGTAGTACAGACGGCATTTTTATATTAATTTGTTAAACTAAGTCATTCTTACAACCTATATCTCAACTTTCTTTGTGCATGAGATGTAATTAAATGTGTTATTATCTCGGAGAACAAAATTTTAAAATGATTTCCTTTTGTGATTTTAGTAGGTAATAGTAAAAAAACAGTTTTCTTTTTAACCGACTTCAAAAAAGGAGGAGGTACTCAATTCGACCGAATGTACGTATGTTTTTTTTGTATGTATGTTAAGCGAGGACTCCAGCATTTGTGAATCGATTTTGATGATTCTTTTTGTTGGAAAGATGATACCTCAGTAGTGGTCCCATTTAAATTTGAAGAAAATATTCCACCTCTGTGGGTGGCAAACTACGGGATTGATGATGATAATAAATAATAGTAGTAAGTAATAGACAATCGATCGTTTTTTTATAATCTGTACTAAGGCTCAACTCACATTGGCTCAAAGTCGAAGCGTCGCGATGCGTCATGTTTTTCGCCTATAGCATATTCATCTCTATTTTCCTAGTTTTTTATTGTTTTTTTTCTATATTTTCTTCGACGAATTCGAACGAAGTGTCAAGGATATAAAAATGGCCGGCGCCATGATATCGGAAAGTGAAAAATTAAACTATTTGTGTTAAACCGTTGCCCGGAAATTAGTTACATTGGCGATTTAATAGATGTTTTGCCAGAAAAAGAAAGAACCGTAGAATATTTAAAAGTAAAATAAGAATGAAGAAAATCCAAAATGTAGACGAAGAAATGCCGAGTAGCTCGAACTCATTCAAAGTGGTATCGGAGAATAAGCGGACATGTTTTACCTGCGGAAAAGTTGGGCATATACAAGGAGATGGTTGGAACAGAAATCGCGGACGCGGACGCGGACATTATGCTCGAAGTCGTGGTCATGAACGTGGCCACTACAATTTTGCACCAAATAGAGGTAGAGGCAATTACTATAACATGGAATATTATAAAAAGAGCTTCCACACATGTATTGCGAACAGTGCGACGATTAGTGTAGATGCTCCAATTAAGGCAGTGAAATAAACTAATATTAACATAATCCAAGCATTTTTATTATTTGCAGAAGACATTTTACAGTGTCAATTTTAACCATAGATCTACCAACCATAGTGTATATATATATATATATATAACATTCGTCCATCCCTACAATTTACAACATCTCCTCGATAAGCCGCCGAGGTCGCCTGATGGTGCGTTCATGGCGCTTTGATGCTCGCTGTAGGGACGCCGTGGTAGGTGGCGAATGCGTAGTAGCAGCGCATGGCCGCATAAATAAATTGGCTTTTAGACTGTGGATGTACAGACCATATAATAAATACTGACGAATATTTCGACAAATATGTAACATTAAAAGAACTAATAAACGTAAGGGTTGGAGATGGAAGAGTATTGAAAGCGACAAAGGTTGGAAGCATTACAACTTGCTTTCCTGTTTATAGGAACAAAAACAAAGTGATAATAGACAAAGTATTTTATGTAAAAGAGATGAAAGCTAACTTATTAAGTTACTCGAAAATAACGGATAATCAAAAATAGTTTCGACAGGATTTTTATCGAAAATATATAACATGAATAGAGAATTAATAGCATTAGCGAAGAACAACAACAAACAAGACAAGATGCACAATTTGCCATTTAACAACTACAGGACGAAAGCAGAAGATATATTAGATATTGTACACGGATGTTAACGCACCCCCTAGAACTACAGGATACCAAGGAGAAAAATATTTTTTGACATTTATAGATGATTATAGCAAGTTCGCGAGAGTATATTGTATTCAATCCAAGGAACAAGTATATGAATGCTTCATAGAATACGTCAATCAAATGCACAATATTACAGGGAAAACTATCAAATAAATAAGATGTGACAACGGGAAGGAGTACATAAATAGTAGAATATTTCATTTCGCAAAAGAAAAAGGAATAAATGACCAAACCTTGCCAAGCATATGTTCATGAATTAAATGGTACAGCGGAAAGATATAGTAGATCGATAATGGATATGACACGATGTCTTTTAGCTGAAGCAAAGGTTGACAGACGTTATTGGCCA